CCTGGGCAACATAGCAAGGCCCCGTCTCTACATATGTATTTTTTATATATATATAATTTTATTTCATTTGTATATTGTAATTTAAAACGTATTGTGCTATTTACTATTTTGCTTATTTATTTTAGATTCGTTAAAAAATTAAAAAATAAAATTTTACTTACCTTGATTTTCAAGTTTCAAGATATAAGACCCCAAAAAATTAAACACGAATTTTCGTAAAATTTTTTTTCTCCATAAATCACGAATAGTATGTATTTGGTTTAAAATAAATGAAATTCAGTTGTGCTTTTTCGTTTTTAATATTTTTTTTCCTCGCAATCTATGCTTTTTACAATATCTTTGATTTTTTTTATTTATTTAAAGACATGTAATTATCTACTCAAACGCTTCCAGGGAATCATAAGTAGTTTAGTTTTTTTCGTTCGTAAAAGCAGTTTTCTCTGTTGATATTGTTTATCCCATTTTCCTTGTTACTAAAATTGGGTGAAATTTAGTATGAAAATCTGTTTATCCGGAAGTTGGCTCCTTGCCTGGCATTGCCTCATGTATTATGTCATCTGTCTTTACTAGTATTTTTTCTCACTGCGAATTCTTGCCCCTCTTTATAGCTAAGTTTGAAAACTCAACAAACTGAACTTTTCTGTTCATTCTTTCATCTCCTGCTTTAATTTCTAAAAGTTTCAATTTATTGCTTATTGTATTAAATATGATTCAGTAAATAAAAAAAACGAAGCAAATAAAAATAAGAAACTTTTTACGCATTGTAGTTATAATAAAAAATTAACAATAATAAATAGAATTTTTTTTATCCAAAACCAAGAATACAATTTTTTTAATTTTTCTTTATTATGATTAAAAAGTATTAAGTTTCCAAACTACTTAAACCACTTTTATTCCCGTTTGCTTCATAAAATACAGTTAAATAAGTTAATATTATTTTGAAAATTTAGTTTACAAAAAGCAAAAGTATTCTACAGCAAATATAGTCCATTAATTATATTGCATTGGCATTACGAAAAATAAATGAATTATATTAATAAATACAAATGTAAATTGAACATTTTCGTTACGGTATAACCATGTATGATATTTGTTATTTCCCAGATGTACCTGTAACACCAGTGTTGTTTACCTTGTTAGAAAACTATTTTTTCTTCCCGTGTTTCGAAATTAGTTGTAAGCTTCATTTACAGATGGCGCTTGATAACTGGAAAAACGATAAACCATTGTTTTTTATTGCAAGTCAGTCTATTCTAATCAGAAATATGGGAAAGAACGCATGTTAATTCTGTCCTCAGATTATATCACGTTGTTTCTCGAATTGTTTGTAATTTTTAAAACATTGTCTTACAACTTTACTAAATTGACAGTGCTATCTGTGGAATAACTTTGCAAATAGTTTTAAAACTCAAAAAGAATAAAATATCTAGCTTCCTAATTAAAAGGCATGAAATCGTGCCTTTCTATTTCTTTCCGTTTTTGAAATCATGACAAATTTTTGAGACACCCAATAGAATAAAAATGAAAGCTTTCGGGGGAATAGAGTGTGTTGTTATTTTTATTGTTTATTTTTAGCAATACAATGAATGAAGGTGATAATAATAATTTGAAAGCAATCAAACCCATTGTTTTACCGTCTTTTTATAGATAAAAGTAACCAATTCAAACTGATTTAAACTTATTTATTTTTCCCCACGTGATGTTTGAAAATTTTTATATCGTCTATTTGTTGAGTATAAACGTGACAGGCACATTTCTCATCTGTTATCAAAATCTTTTTCTATGACATGTATCATTTTTCGATTTCAGAAACATATTTTACTAAGATCTGAATCTTCTCAAGAAAATGACTTGTACAAAGTAAAAGAATTACTCGAAATTTGCATAAAGATAACAGACAGAATATCGTGTCAACTATTTGGTGATAATATCGCAATAAATTATGCTTGTAGCATTCAAAAATGACTAATTCGCATTTTAATCAAACATGAAGTACAATGTAGCATTCAATAGACGATTAATTTGCATTGTAATCAAACATGAAGCTCTAGTAAAGATATGAATGCAAGAATTCACCCTCGCACGCACAAAATCAGGTTCATAAAAATCTAGTTCATTAAATAGTATTTATATTATTAGATGTTGTTTGGCAGGTAAACTTTAAAGTTTTTCTAGAAAAGAAATGGCACAAGCTATAATTAAAAAAAAAAAAAACATAGAAGGTGCCAGAGCTATCAGATTAATTTAGATTAGTTCAGATTCAATTTAGATCAGATTAAATTAGATTTCAGATTAGTAAATAGTAGCTCAAAAAATTAAATCTTCTTTTCTTTTTTCTTTTTTTTTATTTTAAGAAAAAATTATAATCAACTTGTTACACAGCATTTCAATATAGAAAAATTTAAATAATCAAAATCTAATATCTATCTTTGAAATTGAATTGAAAGCGTAAATCGATGATCTTTGAGAATTGCCTGTAAAAAACTCCAATCAAATTGTTGCTTTAAGTCTTCTGAAAAGGATAAAATAAATAGGTAAAGAACTTTTCAGGTAATTGCAATAATGGATAGTGCGCGAGTAGGAAACATATGTTCATATTAGGAACCATTACACCTAATTTTTAAAGCGCAAAATCAATGCCTATAGCCTAAACTCAATGGAAAAACTTTACTGACAGTTATTACAAGATGGACTAACAATAATAAAGACTTTTTTATTGTTGCAAAGCAGGCCTCAGGCTCATAGAGAGAGCGGTATTTAAGAGGCATTCGAGAGGCAGATTCCCATACTTTTGCATTGTTTTTATTATTATGCGTACATCACTTCTGCGCATCCTCATGCAATAGTATAGAAATTCGTAACCGGTGCACCATTTTCTTTCGGCTTTCTTCCTTAGTATGTGGCGTGCCTAATTCCGCAAACACTCTTCGTGCACCCAAACATTTGCTTTATAATATTTGATGGGGGCCGTATCTAACTATTTTTCTTAAGGACGCAGTGCACAATGGCTGATTGAATGGAATGTAAACAATAACGGTCTTCCTAAAACGGGAAAAAAAATTTAGAAAAATTCCTATGTATCCCTCCGCTTATGTTATGCTTACTAGGCGATGTGTGAACAGGCTTAAAATTCTAGGAAGTTTTATTAATGCTATTTATGTTTAAATTTACGCTTAATTTTACCATTCATAAAGGTTTACTGTAATTTAGAAATTCTAACTGGTTGTGAGCCTGATTCAAATTGAAAAAAATTTATATCAAAACTTAAATAAAGTGTTGCCATTGTTGAGTGTTATCCCTTATTTGGCTGCATTTGTGTAAAATATCACGGTTAGTTATTATTTAGGTAGTAGCTTGCAGGGTATAGCATGCTCGCGGAGTCTTCCAAATTCTTATGTTGTTTATTTTGTTGACATTAAAATTTACAAAGCGCATATTGTAAGCACTGGATGGCGCCCTTTTTCAAGCTTAGACGTAAAAACCAATCGGAAGAGCCCGGAAGTCTTACGCGCCATCTGTGAATAGCGCCATCTGTTACCAATAGCACCATCTGTGAAAAGCTTTACATGGTCAACCACGCATACCGATGCCGTTCTAAGCTGTATAGATGACCTCAGGACAGTGGTATTGGCGATCGAAATGCGCTGCAGGTGGCGTAGAGCAGAACTCTCTACCTATGGCAACACTTCGCATGCTTTCTCCCATTAGCGTGTGGAGAGTCATAGAGGAAGGAAGTACGTTAGTTTTCTCTCTTGATTTTCATATAGATTAAAGTCTTTTAACTTGGAAAACTGTATGGAACTGAAAACTACATAAAACATAGTTCTAAAGAAAAGCATCATAGAAATTTTAAAAAATATTTTTATTAATTAAAAAGCAAAAATATTGACAAAATGGAAAATATCGTAATGCATTCCTATACAGCTGAAAAGAGGAGGGAAGGGAGAAGGGCCAAAGGCATGAAACCAGTCTCTCCTCTGATGGCGTATTCGAGCATTGCGATCGCCAATTGCTTTCTTCATGGGTTTAATCTTGGGCATATATGGCAGTACTTTTACTTTCGTTACTTGTACCGCCGGTACAAGTAAAAAGTACGTACTTTTACTTGTACTTCGTTACTTTTTAAATTTAGTACTTTTACTTGTACTTTCGTTACTTTTTTAGGGAAAAAGTACAAGTATTTGTAACGGAAATATCGAATGAAATCGTTACTTTTTTCTAAAACTCGGTAAGCTTTCTAAAAAAAAAAGAAATTAAAATTAAAAAAAAATGCTTATGTTTTTTTAATTTATAAAATTAATGTGCAATATATATGCATTCACAGCTAACTTCGTGTTTAAATACCTTCTGTTTCAACTTATACTGCACATTCAATTATTTTTTACTAGCTCAAAGATCACAAAGCTATCTGAAACCCCGTGTTTGCTTTGTTTATGTTTGTGCTTTTAAAACGCGTTTCTAAAGAGTAAAACAATTTTAAATCAATGGTAATTTAAATAAATAAAAATAATAAACTAAAAATTAAAATCAATAGATAAAATTTCTTTTTCGTGCAAATCCATAAAAAGTTTGATATTAAAATTATATTTGATTTTAAAATTATATTATACGATTATATTATAAAATTATATTATAATATTCTTCCGAATTTAAAAATAAATTAATATCCATAACTTTCAAAATTAAAAATAATTAAATAAATAACAACAATTTTGCAAAAACATTAAAGAACATAAGAATATTATTCAATAAAATTTTAGGTTACTTTGAATTTTCGATTTCCTAGAAATGTACTTTTAAATCGTTACTTTTTTTGTTTTGTACTTGTACTTTTTACTCGTTACTTTTTAAAATAAGAACTTTTTACTTTTTACTCGTTACTTTTTTTAAAAGTACTTGTACTTTTACTCGTTACTTTTTAAAAGTAACGTTGCCATATATGATCTTGGGTGCTGGTTTCGATTTAGTAATTAGTTTCTTACAACGACTGTGTGGACAGTATTTTCTACACTAGGGGGCGCTGCAGACTCTTTACCACCTATATTTTCGGATTACTGTATCAGATGTATTTTGAGGTTATTTGGCTCAACGTGTTCATTGTGTGGAGTTTGTATTATATGTTAATTTGCTAAATGAACTTTGTCTCGGTACTCTAATTAAATACTAATATTAACGTATACACGGTGTACTGCTTGCAACAAGGACAAATAGTTAAAAACGAGTCAAAAAGAAGTCAAATCAGGAATGCCAAAAAACAAGTTATTTCTAAATGTAGCAATCATGTTGCCTTTTTTAAAATCAACTGTAAGTCTTGCAGTCCTTCTATGGCGTCATAACAGCTCAGAATAGAGTAAAACAATGCATTCGTACCATCAAGAGGAAGTTATAAACTCCTCTTATTGTACTACCATCTGCTGATAATAGAGAAAACCTCCGGCAGGAATGAGGTGAATAAGAAACTAAAGCAAATTTACACTTCTAACTCACCAGAATTTTAATAACGTCATCATCTTATGAAATACAGCAAAATTCAGATCAGAAACTGTATTATTTATTTCTTAATTGAAAACGAAAATATCTGTTTGAAAATATCGCCTCGCACAATGAACTGTACTAAGAAGCTGTGAGCTTTCTAACCGGATGTGGAGAAGGTAAAAAGCGCGAGATTTGTTTTCAGTTTACTTTGTATTAAATTGGAAATTTCTCTGTTATCAACCCCGTAAAGAAGCAGTAACCCATTTTACGCTTAAAACAGACCACGATTGCTTATCAGAACATTTATATAACATAAAAATTCTTCCCAGCAAAACATGCCCAATTTGTGACACAGGTGTATTAAACTCTGGTCACCTCTTGTTGTGCAAGGGACTAGCTAGTAACTCCCAGAAAAGTGGGAATGTCACTAAATTGTATTGGGACGCAAGAAATCTCATGAGTTGTCACTAACTTTACCTTTTTCATGTTAATGTCTAAAATTTTATATTGTTGAAATGTTTATTGATTCAAATGTTTATTGTTCTTTTTTGTTCACTTTACCTAAATTGTTGAATTGTTTCGTTGTTATTTTTCTGCTCCTTTATGATGCAGTGAGTTGTCAAATTTTCTGGATTGAATTCCTAATTACGCCATATGAAACACACACATTTGTATTAAAAACAGCATCCATTAGGAAACAATATTGCTTTAAAAAAATCACGACAAGGTTCTTTAACAGATAAAGAACTCACTTTAATTTCCTCAATACGGATTACTGAACAAAGCTGGATTACTATAAACAAAAAGGACACGTTTATGCATCGAATTTAGAAGGACAAGTACTGCTACGTGTAATACCGCTACGTTAGTTGCGATACTATATCTCATTCAATTGCAAAAATCGCTTATTGACTCTTTGTATTAACTCCCAATACTCCTTCACTTCATTTACACAGCTTTAAGCGTATATAGTGTCATCTATATTCAAAATCAGGAACTAAACAACAACATTGCCATATTTGGGGCATTTACCTTAATTAAGAAAAAGTTTCGTGAACCTGACATTTTATTAATTTCATTAATTTTTTTTTATTGAAAATTCGATTTTTTTTTTAAAAATTGATAACTCTGAAATTTTACGATCGATTTTATTCAAATTTTGTATTTTCTTATACAAAATTACATTCTTTGAAGTGATCTAAAAATTTTTAACCCTTAACAATTCAAAAAAAAAATTTGTGCTATCATTAAAAAAAAATTATAAACGATTATAATTAAATGTAATTATGTGCTTATCTTATCTTTGGATTAACGAATTTTAAAACTGTGTGCAAAAGTTTGCGATACGCTTTAGAAGCTATTGAAATATGGCGAAATATGGGCAAAGAGTAAAACTAACAATAAGAGATTCAAAATTTTGACCGCTCTTTTGACCAAATTATTAAGACCAAATTTCCTAGATAGTGTATATTTTAGGGTTTAAAAATCCAAATACGTCGGGGAAAAGATTTGTATCTGATTTCGTAGTTTAAAGTATCTCCTACACTAAATAATTAGCATATATAAGGTGAAACTCCCGAACTATTAAGATTGAGCCCTAGCACGTGAAAATCCAATCATTAGGGGTCAAAAGTTATTCATATTCGTTTTTTATTTCCCACTGTACCTATATTTTTTAATTTATATTTACCTATTTCTTTTAATATTTGTGTAGGCTCCTTTTTTCCAAATAATATTCCAAATTTAAGATTCCCAGTTGTTTTCAATTAACTTTCTTGTGTTTCCTTTCCGTCCCGTAGTGCGAAATTAGTATGTTTTTCTATTTCGCACCGTAATACAAAATAGAAAGAAAAAAAAGTTTCATTTTATTTTTAAACTCAAAACATAGGCGACAGCTGAATTATGCTTAACTTAACCCTTTGACCCAGATGAGGCACCAATGTCTCTTTTATCTCTTTTTTTTCCGGACGCTTAAATTACAAGCAATATATGTTTCGACATTATTTAATTATAAAAAACAGTCTAATAGTCCCTAAAAATCTGCTAAATTATCGGATATATATTTGTAATAAAATATAAAATCAAAAAAAGTTTCTTGGAGAAAAAACATATTTTTTTTTCTCATTTATGTTAAAAATTGTATCAATTGATTTTGTAAATTAAAGAAATTTCCATACTAAATAAATGTTTCTCTTAGAGCCAAATAATTGCAAATTTGAAAAGTAATTGCTTGGACGAGACAACGGTATTTCATGATGTATTTCATAACCATAAATTATTAAAATGCTAAGTATAATATTTTCCCCTTACTTTAACCTAATTAATAGAAGAAGAAAAAGTATGAGAAATATGATTAGTAACAATTCTGCGTCATAGGGTTAATCTTTAAACTTTGAGGTACGGTTATTAGTCTACATCGCTATAGAACACTCCAACACTAAACACTCTATAGAACACTATAGAACACTCCAACACTAAACACTCTATAGAACACTATAGAACACTCCACACTAAAACAATAAATTAGGCAATTTTAATACGTAAATAGTAAAACAAAAACAAGATCAAAATCTTTTTTTTAACAATTTTATTCGTGAAATGTGTAAAAAGAATACATAATGCAACTTGAAAAATTAAATACAACAAACATTTAAAAAGTGAAATTTTAACAGTATATAAATTTTTCGAGTTCAGAGTGATCTGCTAATAACAACAAATTGGTACCAAGGTTCAACAATTGGTAACAAACTGGTACAAGCATTATATTTTTCCAGTTATATTTTAGTTTCATGATTTTGAATAGAAAGTTTCTTAACAGTCAGAGCAAATAAATTAATCAAACACACGCATAGAGATGGAACATCCTTTGAAATTTTTTTTAACTCTGAAAGTAAATTCAATGTTGAACTAAAACAATATACTGAGAGCAAAATAAAAAACAGACTATCCTAAATAACTCTTGATTGAATGATCGGATTTTCCCATTTCAATCTTAATAGTTCGAGGGGGTGACATCAAATATGCTAATTAATTAGTGCAGACGATATTTTAAATTACGAAATCAGACAAAAAAACGTACTTTCTCTGTATAAACATACCTTTTTTTTCTATGGATTCAGATTTCTTATCCCAAAGTATAGGGGATAGCTGCAATCTGGCTGCAGATAGCTGCAAACAATAAAATTCGTTTATCCTATAGCTCCTAGTAAAGTACAACTTTTAGTAAATATTTATTATTTTTATTATTTTATTTAAAAACAGTCGAAGCTTTTTGACCTGTGAAGTATACAATTTTTGCATCATTTTAAAGAATGTAATTTTAAGTAGCAAAATACAAAAGCAAAATTGGTCGAATAGTTCCTGAGGTTGAATACATACTTTAAATTGTGTAAAAAATTATATACCTTGCAATTCAATTTTTTTTTACCGTCCTTAAATAAATAATAAGAAATAGTTACTAAAAGTTATATTTTGCATGGAATTATCTTTGGATAAACGAGTTTTGCAATTGAGTGCAAAATTTTTGCAATTCAATTAAAACTTCTCTAGTTATGGTGAAATACGTAAAAAGTAAAATTAATATTTAGGGGTTCAAACTTTGGACCACTCTCCTGACCAAACTATTGTGAGCCTATTTTCTAGATTGTTGCTACCCCTCCATCTAGAGGATCAAAAATCCGAATCCATCAAAAAAGGTACATTTATTCAGAAAAAATACGTTTTTGTGTCTGATTTCGTAACTTAAAATATAGTTTCCACAAATTAACTAGCATACATTAGGTCACACCCTCGAAGCTTTAAGTTTGAGTCCTAAAAAGTGAACATCCTATCATTAGATCAAAAGTTATTCAGGATGGTCCCTTTTTCTATTTTGCGCACTGTACAACAATCTTAATACGATGTGATGTCTTATAATGTATGATGGAATCGTGTCATTGATATTTTGACGAATTTGTTACTGATCAAAATGTTAATTATTTATGAATTTTGGGGAAAGTTTCTTTCTTTTTTACCAAAATAAATTTTAAAAATTTAAGGACATAAATTACCACCTATTCTCTTTATAAGAATAAGTATACGATTATATTTTAACGGGTTAAATTGCTGGCGAACCATATTGAGAACCCTGCTTTCAAAATCGAGAAGAATGTATTCTAAACTTAATTCAATTTCTAAAAGTAGAAAACGGATCGTCATACGGAGTAGCCAATCTGAAGTCATTTTTATAGTATGACTCTTGTAAAACTTCGATGACGTCTTCTGGGTCATTTGTTAAAATTGCGTCAACGGCTAAATTCAACGACAATCGGATTCGCAATTTGAGATCAATAGTCCAGTGATAGACTTTGCCGACAAAATCATTGTTTACAGAATTTCGCATTGACACTTCTCGTCTGAGTCGGCCATCTGGATAGAAAGCACTGATGCAGTTGGATTTACCATCTCCAAGCCAGACGTTGAGCTTGCCCCCAAACTCGTCGACAAACATTTTGCGAATGGCGAAAATGTCATCTTGACCACCGTCAAACCCAACGTCCTTCAATCGAGCCTCCTGTCCCCTCTCCTGGAATTCTTCGAGAACACCGTATATGACGTCTTTGTTGTCTATGGACTCGATGTATATGAGGACTTTTACCTGTTGAACATAAAATAAATTTAGTAGATATACTACATGTTTATAAATGATAACACATTTATGATAAAATAAAGCGTGTTTATTTGTTACAAGTCTACATCGTCTTCTTGGCCTGATTCGGATCGATAACTAGAATCGTTCAGTATTCGGACAGAATAATTTTTATTATTATTTTTTTATTACCATCGTTGAGAAGCCGACCCAATTTTTGGGATTACGACTGCTAATGTTCAACTCCGTAGCCCTGTAATTTTTGAACCAATCCAGACGACAAGGAAACTCCTCGATCAGTACCCATAGAGGTATTGATTTGTTATGGGAACATGGAGGACTTTGTGACTCGACAAATTTAGCGTGCATCAGTCATCCTTTACTACACGGAGAGTCTTCGGCCAGCAGGGATCAAACCCACGATCTCTTAGACATGGGTCAAGTGCCCTGCCGACTAGGCTATCCCTGCCCGGATTGAATAATTTGGATCACACAGTATTTCTATGACTTATTGCAGTTTTATAGGCATAATATTCTGTAATAACCACATTTGAACTATTTTTGGAAATCCTCAACTATTATTTAAACGATCAAAAAATTAAGTGGTTATCAAAACTTGACGAATCATCAACGAGAGAGGTGGATTTCAAAATTAACAAAACCTGTTTTCATTTGCAGAGGAAATTAAGAGGAGATGTTAGACACCATTAAAATTATTTAATGGTGTTTCGAGAAACTGTATATTATACGTTATATTATACGTACGTTACATTATATAAACATCTAAAGTTAACAATATTATTGAATTTGAGATGGTATTCAAACTTTACCTCAGTTTTTCCAAGGTTTAACCCTTTCGCGCCGACTGTCACAAATACGTGACAGCAAAAAACCGTATCAATCAGGGTAAGAAGATAAAACTGGTAATCAAAGTATTTCTTTAGCAGTTTATTTGTGGGCGGAGTTATAATTTTTCGATTTATTTAATTCACCATTACTTTGTTCAAAATAAAACTATTTAGTTATACTTTGAATAAACATTGATTATATATATGATCAAACTAACAATAATTAAAATAAAAGCAAAGTAAGTCTGTCAAATTAGTAACGACTACGTTTAAGTTACCGTTTTTTATTTAATTGCAACTTGATTCTGATTTTGTACGAATGTTTTTCTGAATCACCCGTCCCCAAGGGGTTAATAGATAACTTTAATTTTATTTTATTAGTTCTTGTCGAGTGTTTTCTTATCTAAATTTATAAACATTTAAAAGCATGAGTATCATATATACAAATAAGAAAATATAAGTATATATAAGAAACACGTAGTTTCATATACATTTAAAATACCCATTCGTTTCGGCTTTTTCGGTTAATATGTTCTGCAAAATTATTAACGTTGATTTGACTTGTCATAGCCTTACACATGAAACCAAATTTAAGTAATTTATAGAAACATGTTATAAAACTTATTTTTGATTGAATGAAGCTTTTAGCTAGCAAATCACTCAATTCATATAATATTTATCAAATCCTGCGGGAAAAAATTTTGGAATTTAATGCGTGAAGCGTAGATCGGAGAAAATTTTAAACTAGACGGGTACGTCATTACTTCCAACGTGTGTACAGTGCGCAAAAAAATAAATTGATCATCCTGAATAACTTTTGGTTTAATGCTCACGTTCTAGGACTCAATATTAATGATTCATGGGAGTGACCTCAAATATGCTAATTAAATAGTGCAAAACGATATTTCAAGTTACAAGATCAGACACTTAAACGTACTTTCTCTGAATAAACATACCTTTTTTTTCTATGAATTCTTATTTTCGACCTCAACAACACAGAAGGTAGCCGCAATGGAAAATGTTCTCCCAATAGTTTGATCAGGAGAGCAGTCCAAAGCTCCCCTTAATGTAAATTTTACTTTTTTGCGAATTTTTCCATACCTTGAGAAATTTTTAAGCGAACTGAAAACTTTTTTGCATACAATTATAAAATTCGTTTAGCCACAGACAATTCCACACAAAAAATAAATTTGCTGAGTATTTATTATTTTTCATTATTTTATTTAACAATAGTCGAAAAACTTTTGAAATCTAAGAAATACAGTTTTTTTACATCATTTTAAAGAAAGTAATTTTGAATGACAAAATACAAAATTTGAGCAAAACCGGTCGAATAGTTTCTGAGAAATCATATTATAAAAAAGACGTGTTTTCAGAAACTATTCAACCGATTTTGCTTAAATTTTGTATATTTCCATGTAAAAATACATTCTTTTAAATGATGTAAAAAAATTGGTAATCAGATTGGTTTTAAAATGATGTATTTGAGGTCCCCCCTTCGAATCATTAAAGTTGAGTCCTAGAACGTGAAGATCCGATCCTTGGATCGAAAGTTATTCATGGTGGTCCGTTTGTTTTTCTCTTTTTGTGCTCTGTACATTGTACACTGGTGCTCATCTGGGGAAAATTGCGAACTTGAATACGGTACGTACACACACACACAGATATATATATATATATATATATATATATATATATATTTATATGGAATAAAAGGCAGAATATCATGAAAAAATTTTTGAGCTCTAATTAAAAGTTTGATAAACCGATATGGTATCATTGTCATATATTTTTTCTACGAATGAAACCTAATTTATTATAATCTAAAACACTAAACATTTTGAAGAATACGTAAAATTATGAAGGCTGCATCAATTTTTTAAGCATTTCAGACTTTCATTCAGAACTTATTTTAATGTATTTCTTACCAATAATGAATAGAGTTTTTTCAGTTGAAACCATTCCGGCATTGAGTAATGAAATCGGACTGAGCGCTATTGTTTCCCAAACACTTCCTTCTATATCGTATGATATTATCGAATTAACTCCTGGAAAAAAATTGCATGTTCCTATTATACTTATACGTCACGTTATAAGAGAAAAAGAAATATAATTAAAATAGAAATTAAA